ACAACAACAACAACAACAACGACAACAACAACACCGACAACAACAACAACAACAACAACAACAACAACAACAACACCGACAACAACGACGACGACGACAACAACAACATTGACAACGACAATGACGACCGCTGTCCCTAGTAAGATTTGTGACGGTTTCTTCTCAATAGTATGCTTCCTTCTTATCAAGTTCAAAAATAGATGGCGCTGAAACTTGGGATCAGGATCTTACTAAAGCGTGATAGACGTTTGTAGCAAAAAACTTTCAGGCTTTATCAGAATTTTAAGAAGATCCCACGATAATAATATTTAAATTTGGAAATTTTCTGGTCCCAAGATCTTAACAAATTGACTCGAGGTCTTACTGCAAGGTCATACAAGGTTATGTGCTTATATCCGAATTTTGAGATTTAACAAAATCCAAAATATTTTTGCTCCAAAAATACTGATCTGATTGTCAAATGAGCTGGAGGCAAGTGATACTTTCTGCTAAGAACTTCATTCCACAAGTTTTGCTTAGGATTTTAATTATTTGCTTTACCATGATATAAGGTACACTCGAAATCAGTTAACTAGTCTCGAGAATAAATACTTTGATGACTGTGTTACAGATATACGCTCTTAGTGGACTGTAAATACAATCTTGTAGAAAAGTTTTTCACTCGGTTCTCCACCGATGTTCTTTTCGTTTCCCTGATTTGCTCATGACAATAATCTAATATTATGTGAATCGTCATCTATATATGTCGCTTTCCTAATACAGCATTACAAAGTAGTGTTCCTCAAGCTATATCAATTAGATCCTAAGATGTCAAGCAAAGATATTTCGAAGGACATTAGTTGCGACTCAATGACCCATAAGATATTGACAAGCTCAACAGCAAAAAAAAAGAATCTATGGAATTTACTAGAACCTATCGGCCACGTCCCGCGTGGAAAAAGGTAGACTGCAGGATAGTTACCATAGACAAACATATGCAGAGCATAGCATTGAGTAAAATCTTAAAAATTCTGAATAATGCAGACTTGAATAATCAATCAAAATACTGGTAGACATCAATTGTACTAGAGCGATGAAAGTTATTGGCCACTTTTGCTGAAACTATTACTGACAAATGGCTATCGTAAAAAAGGCTACTATAAAGAACTTCTGAATAGCCTACCGAGACAGGTTTTAACGCTGAACACTACTATCCATTCCAATGAATAATGCACTTCGTTGTAAGTTGAGTAACGGCGGCTAGGAAGCAGCTAGAAATCTGCTATTTTCAGTTTTGGAAAGAGTGGCATCAACTTTCTATGGAAATATGACAAAAATGACATCACACCGAGTCTCTGGGTTGCCTACTTGTGAAATTTTAGCAATTCACCTAAGCGATGAAAATCCGTTTGGTATTGCATTTTTTGACGTAGGTTTGGTAAAGAAGACGACTATCTACTATTTGCCACTAACCCCAGATTTCTAGCTTTTATTGTTAGAGAGTTATGGTCGTTTTGCTGAATTCTGGGTCCGTGGCAAGGGATTTTCAAAAAAATCAAATTCAAGAATTTCGATCTGAAATTTTGCCCATAGATAAGTCTACTAATCATTAGAATCGTCTGAAAGTTCCAGACAAAACGAATGTTTCTTTGTCGAGATATTGAATTTTCAAGGAATAATTACTTTGCACAGAGAGGTCACATAAGTCGAATTTATTTGAAAATCACAGGTAAGCGACCCAAAGACTCGATGTGGCGAGGCTTTTTTCATATTTCCATATAAATTTGAGGCCGTTCTTTCCAAAATTGAAAATCACAGGTCTCTAGCTGCTTCCTAGCCAGAGTTATTCAACTTACAACGAAGTGCACTGTTCATTGAAATGGATCTTAGTATGTTGTTGGTGTTTAACTTGAAACGAAAGCAGCGAAAAAATGAGTGGGTGATCGATAACGGTATTGCTGAAACATGAACTTATGCACGTATAGATGGTTACATTGTGGTCCAGAAAAAAGCGTATTCAACACTGAATCGATAATGTTTTCTAAGCTTTGGAAAGCCCTTGACTTTCTCTATCAGAATATATAAAAGTATTTGTGGTTCAATGCCATTTTTTTTTTATTAAAAAGCATTCAATACATTAAAAAAATCACTCAATAATTTTGGGAAAATGGCTTTTCTAATTCAGGACGACAGTCTATGAATATTTAAAATATGCAGTTTTGTAGGGCGAATTTTACTCCGTCTTTTGATATATTACACGAGCCTATACCATAACTGTGTGCAAAGAGAAATAAACTAAGAGAAAAAAATATGAATTTTCTATCAATTGCAAGACTCTTGCTCATTGTGTCCCTCATAACTCATCATGGATACAACGGATCAGGCTGGAATTTTGAATATATAGATTTATAAGTACGGGTTTCTGTTTCCGATAACAAAAGAGAAAGTCAATTTTTTGCAGAGTATGATGGCGTTCGAGGGGCTCGTGGAATGTCTCATCAGAATAAAATAAGATATGTACTGTGTAGCATATTCAGCACAATATGACAAGATCCTTGAGATTCACGACGTACGCAGGTATTGATCAGACCAATTTGAGAAAACTTTAAAATGAGATGTAAACTATCGGGCGCTTTTAGTTTTCAGTTTAATACTAAGCATCTGCATAACATGAGATACTAATCTTTATTATCTACATTTACCCTCATTCAAAATCAGAGTCGTTTTGGTATTGGCAGTGGTGAGCCAAGGACAAATAGTAAAAGACAACCAGAGCGAGAATGTAGAATGCACGATATGTTGTTGATATATCTGAACTAAATGTAAAAAGAACTAATCAATATATTTCCAAGGAGTTTGTTTCGATGGCAACTCGATCGTGTCCAAAGCAGATGGCAGTTGGGTACGGATGGTTGATTTGAATGTTGGCGATGAAGTTCTTGTCGCATATCATGACACAAACAGTGAACTTAGACTTCGATCAAGTCGACTACTAGCGATGGATATCTATCAGCAGCATAATCGTCTCTCACCGGTTCACTATCGGAAAATTTACACAGCGGCAAACATTAGCGCTCTTCATATAACACCCTCACATTCACTTCTCATAAGAAAAAAGTACCAGCGACATGCCGAGTATCGTTTTGCATCTGAAACTGAAATTGGCGATGTTCTATATTTCGCAACAGTGGATAATCATTTGATCGAAGTTATTGTTATTCATATTGATGATGTACAGCTCTTTGATGCCTATGCGCCATTGACACTCGAAGGAAGTATCGTTGTCAATCATCATGTTGTTTCCTGCTACGGAACATTCACACACTCAACTGGCCATCTAGTGAAAATGGTACGCCGATGGTGGTTACATTGGTATCTCAAATTATTTTTCTTTTAGATAGAACATGCAGTCTTTTTTATTGATTGTCACATTTTTTATGTCGAATTTTCTTCTTTCAATATCTTACAAATAAATCCCACTACCATAATTGAGGTTGGTAGTTATTGCATAATAAGAAAAACTTTCATCGGGTTATACAATCTAATAAAATTGATTTTGAACCACTGCAATCGAGTATTTCTTCAGCAATACACTACCGCTTAAAAATCGAGCTTCCTTGAGCTTGTGGGTGTGGGTGAGTGACATATTTAAGGGGAGGATTGGGAGGATCAATCACCCTGCCCTGAAAAATGTTTTCACTAAGTTTATACAAAAATGTTGCTCTTTGAAAGTCAAAAAGTTTTTCAATAGTTGAGCGTTCGATGTATAATTCGTGTTAATCAATTAATGTCAACTGTGTTTTTATCAACTCTTTGTTTGATATAATTAATGTCCAATATATGCACGGGTGAATTCTCGTTTCGTCGAAAATTTTTTCTAGCATTCTTGTTTCATCAAAAAGTAAAATTAAAACAAAAAGAAAAAGAATGTGAGCATCTAATTCTAATTACTTTGATTCCCTTGAATAGACTAATTTTTACCGAAGAAATCAATTAGATTATATCGATACGACATTCAGTCAGGCACCCAATATCACCACGGAAAATTTATTTGTAAATCGAAATTCTCGATTAAAATATTTAGTTAGTGGTTATAAACGACAGACCTTAATTCTGGAAAAATAAAAACGTGGGTTAGCATGAAGGTGAGAGTGAGAGCTAGAGTGTGGAAGTGCTTTGATATATTTGAGGATATGAATATTCGTTTTCTCGTTGCCGACCCACACACTCAACACCCTTAACATCCCAACATTTTCACATTTCCATATTTGTAAATTTCAAGATTCTTGCCTTTCGACATCGGTGAGGTGAATCTATTTGTTGTATGTACAATTCTTATAATGTTCTCAATAAGTTTTTTCAACAGATCCACTCAGAATCATTCTTTCAAACTAGTCTATTAAAGAAAATGAAAGGATTGTGAATAAACTAGGGTGGGTGTGCGTGTGGATGTGGATAAAATGGACACTCACATCCAGACCCATACCCACACCCACACCCCACACCCACACCCACACCCACACCCACACCCCACACCCATACCCACACCCATACCCACACCCTCAAGTTGTTGATTACATCCAAAGACAGTTCTCACACGGAACAAGACATTAAATTCAGACCATTGTTGCAACACGACGACCAATTTAATTTTGAAAATCGATAAAAATCGGAACAACCCAAGGTATACGCCTCAATAAAGAGACAATGAAAGAAACTTCGATAAAGCTAAGAAATTTTTTCAAATCATCGAGTGAGTCAGATCGATAAGTCGTCGCTAGCGAACATTGCTAAGGAGCACGTATTACATGTACATACATGCGTTGTTATGAAGCATAATCAAAGTTTGCCGACTGACAGCTACGTAAAACGATAAACGTCATAAAAGTGACTCATTTTCTTTAGTGAAGAGAACGACAAATTTTTTTTTTACCTGTATGGACATATTCCCATGATGGGAGGCTGCAGCTAGACTATAAAAGAGAAGGTATCTATAAGAGATTTTAATCTATATAACAAAAATGTCATTTAAACAATTCGAATCGATCTTCTATCCGGCTTTCGACTTTTACGGCCTTACGGATTGGACACTTGAAAAAATGCCTAAGAACGTCAACATTAAACGAAAATCTAAAAAATCGACCCTTGCCAACGAATGGTTTTTTAAATCACACAATGGTCAATCTATGTGAGTAAATTTTGTGGTTGCCGAATCCATCGATCGTGCTTTCTATATTGTACGTCTGTTGTTTTTTTCAGATTCCACTGCCCGAAATGTGCTCAACAGACAAAGGAAAACGATGAACCCGTTTGGTCTTCCGTGTACACGACGATTTTATTTCGCGCTCGATATTCAGAAGAAAAAGATAAAGATGGAGTTATGTGGGGTTCTGGTCGAATTCAAATGAATATCTTTGAACAAGGGTGTCAAACTTGTGGTACATATAGTACAGGTCATTTTGATGAAGATGGCATTTGTTTCGCACTGTACTGGCTTCACATTTGGATCCTAAAAACATTCTACAGTGTCGAAATTTATGATGACAATGATCATGATCGACCACAAAATGGAGTGCTTAGTCGTGGACCACATAATACTCATCTATGCAAGGCTTGTCAAAGCGGCTGGTGCAAGTATCAACAGCAGGAAAAACACCATTTCAATACGATAAAGGGCAAAAACACTAAAAAATTACTTTAAATTTTTTGGCTTACTTGTACATATAATCATTTTCTGAAAATAGTATAAAAATTCACACGTATAAACAATATTCTGAAATGTAGAAATTGATTGACATCTTTCCAGATTCTGTGAAGGTTCAGACTTTCGTTATACAATTGTCTCATGTCAGAAATAATATATCGGACAAAGCTTTTCTTGGTATCGACTCCGATTATGCCATAAAAATGAATTCGAACCAGCGACACTCTTTTTTTCAATTAGAGCATAACAGATATGCTCCATCCTATGATTGCTACTCTGATTATGCTTTAGTTTCTATGAAACCAACGGTTTATTCGCTCATAAGAAATACCACTTCTTTCATAATAAACTAATACAAAATAAGTAAAGTGAAAAATCTCTCGTAGGCTATAATTGTTTTGCAAGATAATCATTCACCAAAATAAGAAGCTCTCTAATTTCTGCATTTCGAACAGAAATTTTTCTATTTTTTTACGATCGCTCTGCCTTTTGTTTGTATTATTGCTATTCGCTCACTATTTTTCATTTTTTTAAATTCGTTTTTCTTAATTTGACATTCTTATGGGATGGGTGTGGGTGTGTAGGTGAATAGAACGCTCACATTCACATCTAAACCAATACCATCCACATTCACACTCATTACGAAACATTCTATGCTACACAATATACATACAACATAAAGTAAAAAAGTGCAGAGGCAGTACATGCGTAGTACTACATAAGTACAAAGTTTGAGGTCTATGACTTTTACTATGGATAAAGAATTGTAACAACATTGTCATGCACTATTTTTTCAATTCATTATGGCTGACTCAACATGAAAAATGTTATATTAACCATCTGCTAAACATTAAATAAAATTCCGTTCTTTCTTCTTACATTCAAAAAAGTTATATCCATGATGTCAAGCAAAAGAAATTACAAAATTTCTTCTTCATTCCGAAAATCCACCTCGCTATACAACTATGAAGGCTTTATGGCTTAAAGTATGGAGAATGTTAAAGAGAAAGAAGGTAAATAACTTGTCAAGATCAGATGCATCTCGCACAACAACAACAATCGAGTATATTCAAGCCGTAAAAGAAGTTATTCAATTAAAAACAAATGCATCTATTAGAAATATCAATGCAAAACTTCGACAACAAGAGTATAAAACGTCAAGCAGTTCAGTATGGAGAGTTAAAACTGAATTAAAATTGAAAGTATTATGCTGTGTGGTCATATTTCTTACAAAAGCTTATTTCCTAAACAAACTCCGATTTTTATCGATGAATAGTTAGAGTTTATCAGACCACAAGACAGTAATCGTCGTAAGAAGATTTATTTTTCACTGGTGATAAATATTCAAAACTCATTCGAACCATTGTAGCAGAAAAGCATCTAAAGAATTAGGTGATTTAATAAATGTTATTTTTCAAGACGATCAAGATCACAAACAAAGGATGTTCGTGGCTTTGGATGTTGTGTTTGCAGTGCATTAAAATAGAAATTATGAGAGCAGGAACATAGAATATTGAACAATTGAAAAATAACATTAAAAAGGAGTGGATTAAATTTAGTGTTTCTGTATGCCAACGAATGAAAGATAAAATACCAATAAGATTAAAATTAGTAATTGATCAAAAATAATAATAAAGATGACGGGAAAATTTGAAAAAATAGTGCATGACATTGTTGTCACAGGTTCTCATTCATAGTAAAAGCTATAGACCTCAAACTTTGTAGTTATGTAGTACTAAGCATGTACAATAATCTTCCAAAGTTTCAAAGAGTTTGCTTTTGTTAAATGCGAGAACGATGCATTTTAAAATTACTTCAGAACTTCTGGAACACTTCTTATATTCTGTTTGCTAGATCATAGTGTGCTCAAATCTAGTAAAAATAGATGGTCGTATACATATGAACTTGTTCGATTCGCTTGTACACATTATTCAGCAATATTGACAGTATCCTCGATGATTTCTCATGAAGAAACCAACGGCTCATCTGACAGTCATCACTATTCAGAATTGTCTAAAGTCGCTGCATCATCACTTCGACGATGAAGCGAAGAAGATAATTCAAGGTCTATGTGAACTTTCGTTCTATCGAAGTTACCACCTCAGGCACTACTTGACAACTTACTCGTACGCAAATACATATTGACGATGGCATACAAACATAGAGACGTTGGCCATCAAGTGTACGAGCGAACGGATCCACCTTTACTAAATCCACAATTATATCAGATACTCGGAACGTTTACAATTGGATCCAATGAAGCAGAAAGAATGTGTAGTGCGTTGCAACGAATTAAATCTTGGCTGTGAAACAAGCTAAGCAACTCGTCACTGGAAATACTTTTGAAAGCATCTTGTCTTGATGTTCAACTAACGCAAGGTGCAATCAATTTCATCATCGAATATTTCGTTCGCAATCCTGGAGATAAGAGCAACAAGCAAGTTGAGAATAGAAATTCGTTTTTCGAAATGCCGTTTCGAGACCATTGACGTGATGTCAAAACTCTACATAATGACAGAATTCCAATTGATACGACAAGCAATGAAACAGCAAAATTGTTCGATGCAACACTGACGCAATATGTTGGTTGGTGAGTTGGTCACGAGAATTGTCTTTACATGCTCGAATATATTCTTCCTTTTGTCAGGTACATTAACAAGCAATTAGGTGGTATCAAAGCCAGTCTATCTCGTTTTCTCGCCATCGATCCAAATTGCGCCAGCAGTCGTATTCTAGCTGCTGCTATTGGATTGTTCTCAATGTCTCGTCCATCTACATTGGCTCATGTATAAGTTGTTGAAACATTCGGTGATACAGCAACTTCGTCGGATCGCTACATCAATCTTCATACACAAGCTCTCATTGACTGGTCACTCGGCTATCGATCACACGCTACTGACACATGGGAAACTATCCTTCTCAGTTATCCTTTTGATATCATGACTTTGAAATTTGCACTCGACACCTATGTTCATCTTGGCAACCAAAATATGGTTCGAGATTCAGTTGCACGAGTACTACCTATTTGGGAATTATCATCGCCACATCGTCCACTCAAATCATATTTGTATGGGATGCATGCATTTGGTTTAGGCGAAACAAATATGGTACTACGAGCAGAAAAACAAGCTAGGCTTGGACTGGAACTCAATGAACATGATGCATATGCCACACATGCACTGGCACATGCTATGGAGTACATGGGTCAAACATCGGAAGGAATCGACTTTTTGGAGAAAACTGACAACCACTGGCATCAATGCGATATGATCGCACCACATATCGATTGGCATTGGGCGCTATATGAATTGGAACAAGATAATTGGGAGAAAGCGGAAGAAATTCTTCAGCGTTGCTTTTTGAACAACAATGGAACAGAATTGAGCCGATTAAAATATACTGATGCTGCTTCGTTGATCTATCGTCTCAAACTAGCCGGACATTCATGCCCATCACAATCGAATTCTAAATTGAAACAATTTCTCGATGCTCATTTGCGTGATCATCAAATACTTTTCCACGATCTTCATCACTACTTCGTCTTGGATAATTTTGCCGATATCGAGATAAAGAAAGACTTTCTTCGTTCACTCAGAGAAACAGTCGAATCGTCCGATACGGATACCGGAAAATTCTATTGTGAAATTGGTTCGCGTATCTTTGCTGCACTTGAGCGTTTTGACGAAGGAGACTATGCTCAAGTAGTGGAACTTCTGTATCCCATTCGATACCAAACCGCTGTTGTTGGCGGATCAAATGCACAACGAGATATTTTCACTTTGCTACTAATTCATTCAGCGGTATATTCAAATAATAATCAACATCAACAATTAGCCAAACGGCTGATCAATGAACGGTGTAAAATGCGCGGGTCAACGAAATCCAGAATGATGGAAAATTATGCAAATACAATACTGACGAACTGATTTTTTTAAAGCTTTTGTGGTCTTAATAAAAGATTCATTTTGGATGGAGAGAACGTTTATTGAATGTTACTAGATTTGCAATTCACATCATTCTTTTGTACTCATCTGCTTGGATTGCCATACAATATGAAGAATGTAATTTAGAGAATAGGACGTGTTTCATACTGTACGTTCTGTCATCATTTGATCATAGGCACCTTTTTGAATTGAAAGTTGGTAAAAAACTCGCCAGTCTTCAAATACAAGAACAAAGTGAACAGATGCTGCTCAACATATCTCGAAGATACTTGCATGCCAAGCATAAATGTGTATTACTTCGACGTGATTCAACGACATATTTTTTGTGAGGGTCGGACAATATCCTTCAAAAGAGGGAAATTGTACAATTTGCAGCAGAAATGAATTCATTTATGTCAGCACAAATTCATTATTCATATACCGAGAAACCTCTAAGTAGAAATGAATTTTATTTAGGAGAAATGCTTCTAAAAAATCAATTGAACTGTATGTGTAAGAAGAATGAATAATAGATATATATGTATATTCTTTCTTTCCATTTCTTCTTGCTGAAGCATTTCTCTTTAAGGTTTCCTCAAAAATCGATCTCAGCCCAGAAACGTTCAAATGGCATGAAATTTTCAGGATGTTAGGACTGATGTGAGAGGCTCTAGTAAAATTTTCAGCCCGAAATCATGATGTTTGCAGGAGATATCAACCAAACAAGGGTCAAAAATAGCTCATATGGCAAACCAAATTTCTCTGTCCAGGTTCATTATAGAGATTTAATTTGTTTTTGTTTGAAAGAGCATGTCATGATGCAGTGCAATACAGCGCTCGTTTTTTTAAATACTTGCTTTTTAAGAGAAAAAAAGGGATCGAAAGTTCAATGACTCAAAAAACCCTTAAAAAATTGGTGTTGAGTCATATATGAAGATAAATAATAGTATCCCTGATACAACGTGATCATCGTGCATGAAGAATATGAATTACGCCTTTCTATTCTTCTGTCGATATATCACTCGTCTATTATTATCGTTTTTTTTCAACCTTCGATTATGTTTTCATCGAATAATAGTATATAAACGCCCACAAAAATAAAGAATCCGTTTCCGGTAATATTTCTGACAAATTTTTCTTTCATCTCATCTTGCATGTGGTTGATTCGATTATATATGTAAAGGCAATCGAAATACTAAACTTGTATGAGACATGAAATCATCACCACTTGCTGTTATTTGTTTATTTGTTTTTCTCTTGTTCATGCATTATGTGTGGACACATATGTACAAACATGAGATTAACTTGAATGGAAACAATTGGACAATGAATTGTGATTTTGTTGGCAATGATATCAAGTTATATTACTTTAATCAGAAGATTTCTCCATTTGTTTTAGATGGAAGAATACCTGTTCTTACCGATACTTCATCTTGCATATTCATCCGAATCAGAGATGAGCACAGGACAGGACGGTCCTGGTGTCCTGTCCTGTCCTGCAGGACAGGACGCGATTTTAATTTTTGTCCTGTCCTGCCGCCCGCCAGGACAAAGATAGAGATAATAACAGGACGGAACAGGACAGAAAAATTTCTCGTGTGAACTTTCTCGTTTTATTGTTATTGATATTTTTTTTAAACGACCGTCATTTTCGACGTGTCACTTTTTAACACTCGACGTGTGCTGTGAGTGATAAATATTGCTATGAGAATGAGTCATAACACTAATTCAAATATTCGTTGAAAAAAAAGGCTACCAATCAGACGTAACCATTAATGACTCAGAAATTTTCAGTGACAATACAAAGAGAAAGCAACACGAAAACAGTGTTCTTTGTTTTTTTCGCCATGAATGTGTTGTATTTTACTTTGTATTTTATGTTTCGATTTATTGACTCTCAAAATAAATATTCAGCATGAGCAGTAGTAAAATTTCATTATCGTCGAACACATTAAATTTCTCAAAATTTGACAATTATCTAAATATGAAACTCATAAATATAATGTGTTGTAAAAAAAAAAAGAAACATCATTGATAGGTTTGTCGGGAGTCTTTCGTTATGCAGAAAGATTAGCTGAACATAGTATAGTTCAAAGAATGCCAGGATATACTAGTTGTTTCAATTATTATAGTACATTTATTCATGAAAATAGTTGTCTTTTGTGATAACAGCGTAAGCTGTTGTTACTTTTCATAGATAGTATCTAGTATAAAATAAGATAATGATATTACAATGAATTATGTTTATTTTTTCTGTATTTTTTTTCTTGCCATGAATGTGCTATCAAAATATAAAATAAAGATTTTGTTATATTTTTTTGTATTTATAAAATAAGTGATGATCTGGAGTGTATTTCTTGTATTTGAGGATAATAAACGATAAATTAGGTCTAACGTGAATAATAGTAATATTTGATTTGATCAACGATAGGGATGTGCCCAAAGAAAAAAATTGAGAGATCCTAAGTATAGATTTTTGTACTCCCCTCAGGACAAATTTCTTACATTGAGATTTTAAAATAAACGCTCTAGTACAGTTTTACTGTAGCAATCCACTACTTTTCAAAAGTGGGACGATCTGGACCCCCTATCCCCTTGTTCGCACGCCCCTGATGAACGATAGTCAGATTAACGACTCTCATCACCGACTCACTGCCGTTCGATAAAAGAGGAATGAATTAGCAAAACAAACTAGGACAAAGTTGTCATGTATTATCCTATCACCCGTCGGGACATAAAAAGTCAGCAGGACAAAGCAGGACAGGACAAAAACACGACAGGACGCGATTTTGATTTTTGTCCTGTCCTGCCGCCCGCCAGGACAGAGATTGTCAACAGGACAAAACAGGACAGGACGCAGTTTTGATTTTGGTCCTGTCCTGCCGCCCGCCAGGACAGCACCAGCTAGCAGGACAGGGCAGGACAGGACGAAAAATCTTGTCCTGTGCTCATCTCTGATCCGAATACAAATGTAATGCCGAAAAAATTTTATCACCATTTCATTATATGATCTTGTCTAATGGTTTTCTTGTTCAAGCAGGAAATTTTCTGTTGTAAAAGACATTAAAAATACTACACCTATTAATTATGTAAAACAAAATTGCAATCTATGTTGTATTTATTATGAAAAAAATGGTTATTTTAGCATTGATAACACAGTAGTATAAAATTACACAAAGATTATCTTAGTTTTTTAATATTTAGAAGGATGTGGATGTGGTGAGCGAGTGCAGGTATGCGTCTTTAAATTCTGAATCATCTCTTCACCCACACCCACACAACGAAATGTTCTCTAACACGATTTCATCTTTTACATTCAATGTTTATTTTATTTTTATTCGAACTTGAGCGAGATGTTTTTTATATAATTGAAGTTGAAAATCATTTTGAGGTGATAACAGTTGTTCAATCTGGATAGCTTGTCTATAAGACATGATTGCTTTTTCGTATTCACCTATACTTTCATAAACTTGACCAATATTGTCGCGTATAGTCGCTGAAATCGGTCTTTTCCGATGTGAAGATCTATCCAAGTTTATTAATGTCTCTTGATATATCTCGAGTGTTTTTAGCTTGTTTCCTATTTTCTTATAGATCTCAGCCATTTTATAACAAATCATGGTCAATTCTGAAAAGTTCACCGGAGCAGATTTTGCCAAGATATAACGTGCATATTGATAGTGTTCGATTGCTTCTACATAATATCCCAATTTGTCAAGTACTTTGCCAAGATTTTTATAACTGATAACTGTTTTTGTATTGTTTCGAGGCAAATGATCTTCTCGAATTTTAGACACCTTTCGAAATAATTTTAATGCTTCAGAATATTCTTTCATATGGTAAGTAATCTCAGCAATATTTTCGTAGCT